TATTATTTATATTTCGTCGTTTTTTTTCCCACGCTCGATTCACACAACATAAATTTATTATAAGCCGTGACGTACACGTTATACACAATATATGTTCGTTTGATGTTATACGTTTTACATATATATGTATATATATATATATGAGTCGTCGACTCGGAATTTCGCAGCAGGGCCGAATTCCAGTATACAAGGTCGCAACAATTTTTCTTTACTTGTACGTTTTCCTACTGTAGGAGAGAATGTTTTCTAGAAAAACGATCAAATAAACATCGTTGCAAATTTCATACGAGTATAGGTAAATAAAAATGCTTCGCTCATATTTTAGTAAAATCGTATTTGAAAGAGCACCACACATCACGGAATCGGAAAATGTCGGAGACGATCGCTTAATGGACAGTTGTCAGGTATACTCACTGCTGGGAACAATGATGATGATATTTATAAATATAATATATCGCGAAGCGCAACATATGATCCGAAAAGATCTTTTTAGAGTATACGCCATTTTTTAATATCTGTTTGATGAATTCACGCCGTCGATTTTGGCTCGAGACTGCTTTACAGAAAACCCTTTGCGATCCGACGCTTTATTGCTTTGATGCAAGATCCAAGAGTCGTTTTCCCACATTTCGGGCTGCATTTGTCTTATTTGTTCTTTGAAAGCTGTTAAGACTTAAAGTGAAATAACGTTTGTCTAAAGTTTGTGCATATAGGGCATAAACCCACTCAGTCATGGTTAAAGTTTTAATATCGAACGTTACCATCGACACGGCCTGTAAATAACGTGCGTTCCCGCACTCGCCATTTCAATTTTTCAACTTACCTCGACCCCAAAATATACCAATAATTTGTAACAAAAAATTCCAACGGAATAGCAAGCTATATACCGTTTAAAATTATTTTTCAATAAACAGATTGTTTTAAGGCTTAGAAAATACATTTTTTCAAATGTATGTATGCACAGCAGCACACACGCTGACCGTCTCCTCGCGGTCACGATTCCTGCTTAATCACGATATCGTTTGCGCCGGTCAAAAACAAGTGGTCGTTACAATATGATAGCATCTCTATGCATACACGCATCTGTCAACTTTAAAACGTTCGGTAGCCGCTGATTATCAAGTTTTACCGGACATTTTAAGTTCATACTCAACGCAGTATTCCAGCATTTTCCTACGGAGCAAATAGTCAAGACAAATCCAAATAATAATATAATGTTTACTCCATTTCGAAAATACACAATACAGGTACATTTTGAATAGGTTTACGTTGTCTTAAGAACACAGTTGTTATTTTTAAGGTGAGTTTCTACAACCGTCGTTCTCAAATACTGTTCTCGTATTTCCACTTATATTCGCGGCCAATCTGATATAGTAAACACCGTTATTAAATAGTCACGCCTCGCGTACTGGATTTACCAAACTATATTAATAATGTTTTGATAGACCTCGTTTTCGAGTGTATTCCGTGTCTCTTTTCAATTAATGACGGCCGCCCCCGAGACCGAACTGTTCAACGCGATTTAATATAACTATAATAGTTGTTATAATAATAATAATAATAATAGTAATAATAATAATGTATGCGAACTGTCGACGTTTATTACATGGCACGCGAGGGTCGGAAAATATTCACGACTTGCCACTGCGGCGATAATTAGTTTGGAGGCACTCGTCGTTTGATTCGCTCTCAGAGATAGCAGTCGAAACCAAACAATAATATTATTAATATGACGCATTGGCAAGTTTTGAGTCGATTTTAATTCGCCTCGATCGACGGCGGTGAAATACTTCACCACGTGCACCCCGGGTCATCACGACGAAGGTATAAAAAAATTAAATATTACGATTCGTATTGGCCCCCCGTGCGTTTCGTGGTGGTCCATTTGTCCACACTGTTATCGTGACAACAAAACGTTTCCCATTCAACAATATACGCAAGCCTGGGCTTAAACGAGTTAAAAAGTTAAAGTTAAGTTGAAAGTCAAGTTCATCTTAACTTTTTAACTTGACTGTTTAAAATTTAATTTTCATCAACTTAATTTTTTACTTAACTGGTCTTCATCGATAAAAACTTAATAAATAACGAGTTACATTTAATCAAATGCAGTTTCTTTAATTTATGAATAATTAAACAATGAATACAACAAAATTATTATTCATTTTATATATTGCATAAACATTTACTTTTTATTATTTTAAGCCATATAACCAGCTGCTTGTGTATTAAAAAAAAAAAATAATAATTTCCTTAACTTAAGTTATTTATAAGTTACACATAACTTTTAACTTAACTGAGTTTAAAAAAAAATTAAAATAACTATTCGATTAAGACTTTTTAAAATGTTTTCCGTCAACTTAACTAAACTCAGTAAAAAATCATCATTAACTCGCCCAGGCTTGCCAAATAGTGTGTTAAACCCAAGTTGATTGTCGAGCATCGTTCGCACAAGTCTCTGATATAATATCATAATTTAATGTATACTGTCATAACAATATTATAATAGTTGTATCAATAACGACGGTTTTATTCGCATACGACCGTTCAATAATTAAACGCACGCTCATCATCATCATCATAATCATACAGGATGTCCCTCGAGGATTCGTACTAATTTAAAGTGGCGGCTGTTAATAGAGTAGTAGTGTTTGCACATCGAAATCGTAAATCTTCGTGAGACGTGTGCTGCAGCGTGTGTTGTGCGCAGGCACACAACACGATGTTATTATTATTTCGACTAAGACAATGGTATAATATGAGCGCAAACAAAAGTTGATTCCCTCAAAACTGCGTAGTAATGCATTACATATTATAATATTATTAATATCGTTACGATTATATTATGATTCCTGCGCTAATGATAATAGTAACGGTAATAATGTTTTGTTGATTAAACGAACACTCGCTGAAGCGTTGTTGTACCTATCTCGGTGGAATTATTTTCACTGTTCGGATTTTTGCTACGTTGTAGTGTAATAGTATTACACCTATCGAGAGAAAAAAAATCACAAAACGCATTTCACGCCAACGTTGAAACACGATATCTTTGATATTGGCGTTGTAGCGCCGCATGCGTTTAGTGGATCCTTTCAGGAACGTAATGTATTCTATAGGATATAGGTACGCGAATGCGTATGTTTCCGGCCGATGTTACCAAGAAACTACTCTTGAGCACATCAAGTGGTAATCTCTGGTATACCCTCACTGCTATTATTATTATGCTTTGAAAGTCTCAGCACTCTGTAAAGCCCTTGTTGTTATAACTGCTGCACAGCGTATGCCTACCAAACTGAACAGCGGAATATCCAATGTTTTAGATTTGAATTTTTCGAGTACTTCGCTGTTCTATGATAGTGCAATAAACAAAACAAAAAAACAAAAACAAAATTCCAATAAATTGTACTAAAAAATAATAATCTCGATGGCCACCGTCTAGCTGCCTGTCTCGAATTATAGTAGGTACATTTTTAAAACGTTCATAACCTGCTTTAAAATCGAAACATCAAAAACCCCTACTCTGGGCCCTAGAAATTTTTCTTACGTCATAATTAATTGACTAGATAATTTTGCTCCAATATAAAAAAAAATAACCGAATTTAACGGGTTATTATGAACGTAAAATGTGCCATCCGGTGCGTTACGGAGACAACACATCCGAGTGTGACTTCAGCATATTTAATAAGTTTCAAAATATAAATTTGAATTGAAAACATTTTTAATTAATCATTTTAATGGACATAAATAGTATCTAGTCTTTTTAAATACAATTTAATTTCAGTACTGTTGTTTAAGCGGAGGTAAGAAAATATTTTCTACTGTCTCAATACGTTAATATTGTTGAATTGTGCGTATATTTTCGTCACGTCAGTTTTGTCGTACCTATTAATAGCACTAACTTGACAATATTTTAACAAATCATTTCCTTATCATCAAGTAATAAAATATATTATGAAAATGTATAGTTATAAAACAAACTATTTGAAATATATTTAATTTTAACTCGTAGTATTTTAAAATATTTTATCAAGTTTCATAAAATACTTATTGATTTATGAAAAAGCTTGTCATTTGAATATTTTGTTTTACACATTTAAATATTTAGCACAGTAAGCTGTGCAGCAGTGTAGGTAGGTACTCTATTGCACCATGCAGTCTTGCAATTCACAAACCGTGAAAAACTTAATATGGTGAGTGCTCGTTTGATAAAACATACAAAGACATGACTATTTCACGAATCAGGTCGTTTTACATAATAATAATAAACATAACATATAACAACAACAAGTGGTAAAATGTATTTACCTTTACGGAGTGGTCCATTTAATTGTCTATTCTAAATCTCTTAGTCAGTTTTCGTGGTTTCAAAATAATATGTTTGTACAGTTTGAAGTATTTATTATAAATTTATAACAATACATTTCTTGCAGCATAGTCTTATAATTTGCTATTTACCTATTATGTTAACCAAGTATTAATTTATAGTTAACATTTTTTTTTCCATAATAACCAATATAATTTACATTTTATTTTAGGAAGTAGAGTTTGCATGATTTATATAAAAATATAGTAATTTGAAAAATATTAATCGAATATCGAACCAGTAGCTTTTTTTTATAATTATAATCATTTAAAGTTAAAAGGTGTGGAAATTAACTGTATCAAGTATTATGCTTTTCGGTTTAGAGAAATGAAAGCAGAAACATTTTGGGTAATAATTTTAATATTAAGAAATTAAAAAATCGTAAGAAATATTTATTTAAATAATTAAAACCAATCGGTCTAATATTGCAGTTTCGAAATCCGTGAAAACTTAACAAAAATTATTAGGTATTGACAAAGTATATTAGTTAAGGCGTGTTGCCACTTAAACGGATCACACGACCATGAGCATAGTATAGCACCTAAAAATATAATATAATTTCATATAATATAGGATTATTTTATGTACACTAATATTACATAATACGAACGTTATTATACTCTGGACGTCTCGTTTACAGGTACCAGAACGCATCAAGGCGATGAACTCGAGCATCAAGCTACTCCTCATCCTCAGGGACCCCGTGATCAGGGCCATATCGGATTATACGCAGTTGCACAGCAACCCGTTGGCGAACCGCAGCAGTAGGTCGTTCGAGCAGCTGGTGGTGAAGCCGGACGGCACGGTAAACACCAACTACCGGCCGGTGTCCGTGTCCACTTACCACAACCACGTTTACCGGTGGCTAGACGTGTTCCCCAGGGACCAGCTGTTCGTGGTCAACGGCGACCGACTCATCACCAACCCCGTGTCCGAGCTGAACCGCATCGAGACGTTCCTGGGCCTCGAGCACAGGATCGGCGCCGACAACTTCTATTTCAACCGGACCAAGGGGTTCTACTGCCTGCGGTACGGGCCCGTGGACAAGTGCCTGAAGGAGACCAAGGGCCGGAAGCACCCGGACGTCCGGCCTTCGGTCGTGGCCAAGCTCCGGGAACACTTCGGCCAGCACAACCAGAAGCTGTACGACGTTCTGGGCCAAGACTTCGGGTGGCCGGAGAAGTAGCGAACGGCTCTGTTGTCGAGCCAGTGGGGGGGACGAGTGCGGGTGTCGCGGCGACATCGTTTCAAAAAAAAAATAAATGTTTTTCGTTCTTTTGGAGTTTTGTATACAGGGATACTATATATATATTATATACATATATAACATTATAAATATTACTATAACGTCACAATATAATAATTATGTACTGATCGCGACCATAGCGCTTCGCTTTCTGGACGAGACTTGAAGTGTGTCGCTCGATTTGTTCTTCTCATAATACCACATGAAACGAAACGTTTGAACACTGCCATGCTCATACTGTGCATGCATATATATATATATATTATACCGAAGGCGAGGAACGGCGAACGAGGAAGAGGAAGGGGGTGATGGTGTGTGTGTGTGTGGGGGTGGATCCCCATCGTTTTCCTTCAAAACTGCTGCACCGTACAATGTTTACGAGACGAGTCTCTATAATTGGACAGAGAAAATTTCGATAACACGTACTGATAATTTTACTTATTTTTTTTTTTTTTTATATTGTTATAAGCGACGAATTTTTTGAAGACACGAACCATTTGGTTTTGGAACATAACTTCTTAACGTGTAGCATAATTTGAAGTATGTACCTTCTGTACACGCGACTACGCAGAGTTTTAAACAAAACTAACAGGTTGAGAGCCATGTGGGTTTTCACGGCGTTTTCCAATGTTGCCATGATATGAGACCCAAATTTGGTTCTCGGTGAATTTTTTTACACCACCGTGAGAACCAAGTTTGAGCCTCGCCTATATTAAACTGTTATTGAACTATACCCAATGTTGGTTCTCGTTTATCGGTTTTTTTGTCATTCGATTTATTATTTTCAGATTCTGCACTTTATTTTTACTATTGTTTCTAGGACACATTTAAATGTAAAAAATGTATTCCAATATTATAATATATAACCAAGACAATAGAGAACACAATTTTAAAATAATATTGTTGGCAGTCAACAAAATCTAGTTGAGATTCAAATTCTGATCTAATGGCTCCCGACCTGTCTTAATCACGTTGATTTTTTTTTAACCTTTTCTCTACATTAACCACACAATTATACTGCTATTTAAGTATGACCAAATGTTTTTTCTTCATTTTAAACGTATGCAATTTTTATTTTTTGAGCGTCATTCATTCCGCCGTGCCGTGGATAAAATGACTGCATTTTATGACAATTTTTCTTCTCCATCGAGGGATATTGTGTCGTTCGAGCACTTGAAAAAATTCAAACAACATATTATTACATGGTGCTCGATCGCCCTCGAAATCGCCCGTTTTCGGCATTGCAGTCTGAAAGATTTCCTCGTCGCCTTTCGTTTGAGTCTACAGCTGTGAGCCGTCGTTCCATTACTGCCCACACAATTAGTGGACGCGATCTCACTGAAGTCAATAACGCACATGATAATATATTTCAAATTAGTGTTTTATTTTTATTTTTTTACACTTCCGTCGCTCTCTCTCTCTCTCTCTCTCTCTTTCACTGACTCTGCAGCATTGGACAAAATCGACCGACTTATCGAATTATATTGTGTATACTAAATCAAAACACAAGTATTCTCTCGTATACACCTACGCGTAAGATTAGTTTGTTATCTTTTCACGCGTTTTTTTTAAAATAATTTTTCGTTGATAACAATAATATGTTACGCTCCTATTGTAGTGAAAATATGTCTCGACACTATCACTATTTTCATTATTGTTATTTTATTTTGCACGACCGATTTACGATTGACACCGATTACTGTTCCCGCCTATTGTCGCACTACCTACTCTACTACTCTCACGAACTCGATGATTGCAGTGGCAGGCCCTCGAAACAAATCGAACATGTCTTAATAATACAATATTGTGTGTACAGCCGATAATATAATAATTTTCGCCAAAGCGCGACTGCTGGAAACGGTCTGCGGAGAGATCAGACTTACAACGTTTATGTTATTGTTGAATATAATTATTATATATAGTGTCGTTCAAAGACCGTCGAAGTTGTTTCGTGGTCAAACATCCCCGGTTACGACATGACCACGTAGGAGTTTAATCATTATCTCCTTTGCCGAGTTGATTGATTGCAGTCGGGGCGAAAAGAAAATAATAACAATAGAAAATGATTACGTACCTCATTGCGTTCTAAATAGTACAAATGTATGAAAGAAAAAATAAATATATATATATGCATGCTCCTCACGTGCTCCTCTGGCCTTTGCCGATATTATAGTGATCGGAGTTAAATCTACTCGGTGGTAGTCCCGAGGGGGCGAAGGGGCATAACTATATTATTATCATATACTGCATTATTATTACTTACCTACTACTTTTACATAATATTTCAAATTTTCGACGAGCAATAATGACTTTCTTTTCAGATGGTTGATTAATTAATTTACTTATACATATCATTGTTATAATATATAGGAAAAGTACTGTGTAATGTTATAGTATATATTTATATATGTATTTTGTTCGTTACGGTTATTATTATTATTATTATTATTGTTCATTTTTTTTTTTTACAAAAAAAACAACGATCATATCAACTATAGACTTTTTTCGTGTATTTTATAAGTCGTTTATAATATTATATTTTAAGTAACTTGAAACATATCAATGTTTGCAACGTAGCATGATTATTATTATAACACTGTCATCGAGAGAAAACTATTATAAATCGTATTTACTATTTTGTATATTGTCGTCGTAATAAGGAGCACGGGGACGAAAGGAGTCGAAAGGATTTGTGTGTCGCTTTTTCGTCCGTTGTTTCGGCTTTACGTTACATTGACAAGTCAATCGTGTTTATTGTTATGTTATGAACTACTGTACTGACGTCTTGTATGTATTTGAAAAAAAAAAAAAAATTGTAAATGATTTGTCTATACTAGCAACGCGATTGCGTCTTAAGCTACGTCGCTGTCACACAGAAATCCTAGCGACACGTGACCTTATCTGTATAATGTCTCGTTGCCCGTGCATTGTACCACGTATACATATCATATCATAATATTAATATTATATTGTACCATATACATATCATGTACTGTACCAATACCGCGAAAGCGATTTGGACTGAAAAACAATGTCTACTAAACAAATACATATCATTTTGATTAGGTAGCGTTTACTATTATATAACTTAATAATATTGTACTTGTATTTGATGTATTTTTGTTTTTTACTATACTATTGTAAAATAGTTTATTGTTAATAAGTCGATTGTTTTATAGAAAAATTTCTTAGAATCACAGTATTGTGGTACCACAGGTGGGTCGGGGAGCGTAGTATACCAATGTCAAAACCTACCTATATCCACATTATTACGAATGCTATCATTAAATGACTACTGGACAGCTGACTAATGTAATCGTCCCGATGAATAATTCGACCACAATAATATAATCAAAGAAATTTAAAACTAAAAAAGTGACGTTTATTGAAATAAAACACTCTATTATATAGATTACAGCGTGTGACTATAATATAATACAGTATCCATGACTCAACCCATTCAACTTTTTATGATAATATGCACTTCTATACACTCCGAATCCATGCGATCATGGTAACGCCAAATCGTATGTAAAAACTAAAAACAGTAATTTATAATATTGCAGTTGTCCGGAACCCATGACCAAACGGTGAGAGTTTTCACATAATTTAGCATTTGAATCGATTCTATACAGTTAGTTTAAATAATATTATAGATAATAAACGTAGGATTTATATTAATATAATAGTATTCGACACAATAATCAAAAATACCCAAAATTACAAAATATAATCACACCAGAAGTCTCAAAAATTACTACCCGAGGGCCGCATCTGGCCCTATAGCCCTATAATCCAAAAATTAACTATTCATACTCTTGTTTATTTTTATTATTTTTCGAATGAAGGTACTACAGTTATTTTTTCAATACCAAACAAAACTACTACTATTTTAGTTTCGAGAAAAATTCACTACACTAAATTTAAATTACTCTTTACACTTCTCTAAACAACGACACGATAACCAACCGTTTAAATGTTCACTTACTTATTAAGCCGTCGTTATTAAGTCGTTGAATTTCTATATTTTCTATACGCCTAAACATTTTCAACGCGTATACTGATTATATTTTTAAGCTTTGGAGACCTATCTGATCTCTAAAGTAAATTTATTGTGTACCGAGAAAACAGTTATTAAAACGTATTTTATTTTTTAATTCCAGTTTGTAGATTTTTTACAACATTTTAAACTATCAAACAAGTCAATAGTATTTATTGTTTACTTTGAGTTACCCTCCGAAATCGTCTTGAGTTTTCGACAAGGCAAATAAAATATTTTATGAAAATATGACAAAAAAAAAAAAAAAATAGGCACTTCTAAGTTTGAACTTAAGTCTCCCCCCCCCCCCCCCGAATTCGAAATACTGCAGTCGATTGTCCAGTGTTCGTGGAAATGATAATATATTATTATGACTATAGCAAAACCCAAAAGTAATAATCCGTTCCGCAGGCTCTTCTCGTCCGGTGATACTTAAATCTTGCGACTGCCTATACACGGTCAGATTTTGTGCCGTGAGTGGGCTCGAGTACCTTCTATAGTGGCACTTTTAGGACATTTTTACTGTATACATATCGATATTATATATCATAATATTATTTTCATATCGTGAGTAAAACGAATTGTTTCAGCTGTAGCACAATTTTTTTCTTACAAATCATTTTCTATGTACCTAGTCATATTGTATGATACTATTGTTAAGTGTTGTTGTTGTATGTTTTTTTTTTATATCTCACTCTCTCTCTCTCTCTCTCTATCTATCTCTCTCTTCTTCGTACCTATATAATAATTTATATACATCATACATACATAACAAAATAATGTGATGTTTGTCTCCGGACGCCTGTCTGTCTGCATATCGTAATATTATTATTATTATTATCGCGTTATCGCGCATGCGCGTGCCCATAATAATGTTTTGATATTATAATTGTCACCGCTGTACAACGTGTAATATTAAGATTATTATCGTTATCATATTTGTTATTAACATCATACGACGCCGTACGCGGACGGCGGATGGCGGGCGCACTACTATATCCGCGATCAAACTTCCGGAAACAAAATCGATGGTTTTCGGATCTCAAAAACGTTTCCGGGAGGAGCGATCAAGTCGAGCGTCCCGCCGCCTCGCCGCGCCGGTCGACTGCAGTCATCACAACGATATTTATATTATTACATTATGTTAAGATAGTATTATTATCATACCGTTCTGGTCCCGAGCACTTTTTGGCCGGGCCGAATACGTTTTAAAAAATAGATTTTTTTGGATTTTCCTATAGCGTCACTACGATAATATACTGTTATTTTTGTTAAAAATTTGTTTAAAATATAAAAATATATAGACGCGTGCCTTGTGCGTTTGTGTTTTGCTCTCGCACGACACGCAGTTATTATAAAAACCAAAAAACGCCTGTGTATATTATATGTGCATCATATTTTATTACACTCGTCTTCAGTCGTACCTATATGTATAAACAAATCAAAAAGTGTTTTTTCCCCCAGCTGTCGTCTGGAGTGCTCTCCAAAATTATTCTATCAAGACTATTGTAGTATACGACCGACCCCAAACACCTACCCCCGTGGTAAAGTGAAATAATATAACATAGAAATAACACACCCGTGGCGCCATCTGTTCGTGTTTTTAAATACATTTTCTGTTAAGACAATAATATTTAACCACCCGGGCGGAGTCCGGTATTTGTTTCATAACAATTATTATACAACCAGTGATATTTATTACACACACTCACACAGTCGCACATATATTATATATATTGTATTGTATATAATATATATATATATACGAGAATAATATGAAAGTATACAATAATAATAATATGTATTTACATTTTTTTTAAATTTTTTTTTATTACACAAAAGAAAGTATAAAGTTTTTTTTTCTAGAAAAAATAAATAAGTGAAAAAAAAAACATAAAAGTAGGAACATAAATTTGACAAATATTATTTTACAATATTTCGCTTAACGTAGTTAAAATACTTTTTCATTATGATAATTCTATAGCATAGTAATATAATATGAACCTTTTTACCTATATAATAATATAATATAATATATTGATTTTAATAACTATTATCTATAATTACAATAATATCCTAGGTTGAATTTGTGTTTTCTTCGAAAAATAAATTACAATAATTATTAAACAATTTGATATTTTAAGCGCTCTACTAAAAAACATTTATTAACAATATTATTAACTAAAAAAATTAATAACATAATATTATATATTATACGACAACCCGAATGTATAAAAGAACGTTGTTCTCTCTGTCACTAAGTCATGCTAAATATATAAGCCGCTTACATTATGGTAGCTACTACAATATAATATAATAATAATAATAATAATAATATATATATTATCACGAATGAGGAGAAAAAATATCGTCAAAATTCGCGTTTACACGAAAACACACTACAAATAAATGATCGTAGGCCAATATCGAAATATATGAACAATAACATTACTCTGTAATCTGTTTTGTGGTATACTTAAATCGAACAATCGCGGTATGTATATCATATAATTAATTACAGTGTAAACGCCGGCGTTTAGGTTTTTTAAGACATCGGCCGACCTCGGTCGGGTGAGCAGTCGCGATCGTACACAACCGAACTGATTAAATGTAAATAAATAAAACCATTGACATTGTTATGGTAAAATAAGTGTAAATAATTATTGTTGCGTGCGACGACCATCCGGCAAACGGTAGAGTCGCCGGGTCAGAGTTTGTTGTACATGTAGCCACTTAAAAATTAAGTCAATCGTTACTATTATTACCTATATTACTATTTTTTTCATTTTATTTAATTTTATATAATAAATTTGCAATAAGAACAAAATTCGGCTGCTCAAGTAAAATACTGTTTAGTCGGTCGACGGTGAAGTGGAAACGGTCAGTCACGATCTGAAACAACATCAATAAAATATTTTAATTCGCTATTGGGCAATCGGATCGTAATACGATAGGTCACAACGCGATGATATTATTATTGTGATAACTGTTTACATTTTTATATTTCGGCACAGCCCATAAAATGTTCCTGAGGATCAGTTCATTTTTGACTGCTCTCGAATGAGATCAGAAAAAAAAAACAAAAAAATGAACAGTTAAACACGCTTTATAGCCACCTTACACGTTTTTCTTTGTTGGTAATTTTGAACTTGATTCGCACCGTTGCCGAAAACATGCAAATGTATACCGAGAATGCTAATATCAAATTATTGAAATGCCAGAGGCCCTGTTCGGGTTGAATTCATTCGATTCGATATAAGATAAACCGAAACCCGAGACTAAGCGACCATTATGATAATAATAATGACACATTAATCGACGCAGGTACACATCCTTTTATTGAGCTGTGTACGAATTCTGTACGATTTGTCGAAAGCTGTACGTCAGCGATCTATTACGCTCCGCAGCAGGCAGCTGCTGGTAACGAGTGGGTCAGCTAAAAAATATATTCTCATGATTTCGCTTGATTAAAATGATTAACCGCGGACAACCACGCGCGTCGATCGCGATGGTAATTAGCCGAAGAATTGTTTTCATTCGTTCGGCGGTATCATTAGTATTATTCTATTAGTCTATTAGTCTCCGAGATCAATGTAAACAGATAAGACGCGCAGCGAAAACAATAAAATTAGTCTGAAACCAGCCGATAGTGCAGTAATAATCACAATGATTATTATTCTATTTAAAACGAAACCGTCAAATTGATAATCAAAAAATACCTACTTTTATAAATTAATTTAAAACGTTATCGAATAATGGCATCACGCGCGTTGCATTATAATTGGTACACGCGCGTACGGTGTATTCGAATTCAGACGTAAACAGTGAAATTATTATTATATAATAACATAAGTACCTACCTGGCCAGATGATGATTTAAGATACCCAACGTCATTATGCGCCGTGCACGGGTAACCATAATACGATATTATGTTTATTCAGTGAAATTCTTTGATGTTTGATCACGTAATAACTAATATTATTATCGTTTATCAGATCTGTGTATCTCTGAAAATGCGAGGAGATTTATGTGCCCACGACCGACGATGTCTCGGAGAAAAAAAAATATCGTTTCGTCCCGGCGGACGCCGCGCATATTAAGGGACACCAAAATGTGTACAACAGTTCCCAGCCCCTGGATACACGCGATTATCGGATGATTTATTAAGGTCGTGTGTGTACGTTGCTTTCGATCGGTTGGAAAATACGATATAATTTACATAACATCTCATTCTCGGTATATCGCTCTGTTAATTATATTATTATTATTATTATTAAGATGTTTGAAAAAATGTTAATGCTCTCCCGTATATTACACAGGTGGTTCCTGCGACACGCGCACAGGGTATACTNTATTATTATTATTATTATTAAGATGTTTGAAAAAATGTTAATGCTCTCCCGTATATTACACAGGTGGTTCCTGCGACACGCGCACAGGGTATACTATTATTAGGCATGCAAGTGGCTGAACGCCGCAGCTGTTATTACATTACAATAGAGTTATTTTAATGTATGTACAAATTGTATACATTATTATTATTATTATTATTATTATTATTATTATTTGTTTTGATATCGTCGTTGAGACGCTTTGGACGCTTCGACGTCGATTTGCGTGCATATTTTCCACGATTATTGTGTTGGTGTTCTATGATGGTTTAGTCGGCTCCGGTACGGCGGCGGGTCATGAGTTATAACTTATAACTGTGCGCATAATTTAATGCAACGACTACCTGCCAGGCGGTTGTAAAATAAGGATTTTTTCGTGTTGTAAACACCGACTAATTCGTTTTGATTCTAATCTAATATATGCACGACGCGATCGGCTGGCTCGACAAGCATTTTTTTCTCTACACTTTTTATTATTAAAAAACACGGTCATTTATAATCTGGAATGACGTGGGTATAGTGTCACAGTAACGATTGCGAATATTATTATTTGTTAGGTCAATTTTTTATCAAACTTTTAAACTCAATTCGTTGCTTGTTTTTGGGCGGGTCTTAAATGGTTGAAATTGTTATTTTATTGACAACTCAAAATTGTCTTTCTTTCAATTGTTTCAACCGTAATATGCTGCATTACACATTTTAAAGTTTTATCGAGTTTGACGTCTCCAACAGTTATCATAAGCTGTGTGCACTTTTATTGAAACGAACAGTTTAACAAAATTACTCTATACGCGCGATTATAATATATTATTTATGAACAACCGCGCAGTAACAATATTATTTCCAAGATCATTTTAAATTATTTATGGTACGTCTA